CTTACTAAAATGCCGTTAATAGGTATGACGTCGTTGATGTGACGCACTTGACGGCTTTATGAAATATAGGAATTTTATAAGGACTAACCAACGCTATCCACCCACCAAATAACCAACTTGACCAACGCAACTAACCTCGACACTGATAAAAAAATATAAAAAACAAATATAAATTAGTAAAAACAAACCAACCTCACCAAATAACCAACTAACCAATGAATTAACACAGTCCAAATAATCACGCTAACCAACCCCCCAAATAACTAAACCAATCCAACCAAAAAGTATGAAACCAATACAATAATATCACGCTATAAGCAAAAAAAATATAAAAAAGTCTTGGTCGGCGTGAGATATGAACCACGGACCATTGGCTCACGAAGCGATAGCCTCAGCCACGGAGCCACTGGCGCTCTTGCAAAATGCTTATAGCTCAGGCATTACTTTCCGCCGACATGAATGACGTCACAATATCTATTAACGGCATTTTAGTAGGCTACCGTTTAACGGCTGTTTAAGTACATCGTTAGTTTAAACTATAGAGTCTAAAAGGAGGAGGCGAATCGAACGCAAAAATTTTGGGCCCAGATTTCATGATCTAAATGAAGTTCGAAAATCGCCGTTAGGGGCGCATGTGATCAAAGAGATTGAAAAATACACAGCTTCTTATGGCAAGAATTACTATTTTGTTATAAATTATAGAGTTCAGTTAATATTTGGGCATATTTTTGCCAGATTTAGCTTTTAGAAACGTGTTTTTTTCTAATTGAAAATTGTGCGTGGCTAAAATTGTGAATACAAAACCTTAAATTTGAGTTTGAAAAGTAAGTTAGAAGTTAGGTTATATCAGATGTCGGTTTTAGATATTCTTTTTCTAAGTTGTTATTTTAAAATTGTTTCATTATATGGTTCTTTTTAGTGCACACACGGCCGAAGAAAAATATAAGCTGCTAATATAAATCTTCCCGAGAACTGTTGTACAAAAAAGATAGTTCCAGTCACAAATATCACCAGTTCAACCTTTGATTTGATGTAAACAGTAATTAGGCGCGTTTAGGGAACACAGCCGCTGACATTCAGCGTAGAATTTCGCTAAACGGCACAAAGCAGCAGAAAGAACAAGAAACAGTAGCTGTCTCATGCGCTCTCTGTCTACTATAAAAATTTGAGAGAAATATAAATAAAATTACAATCAAATGTTATTTATGCTGATTCAGATTTTTTCAGAAAATAGTATTTTTTCTTAATTTCATTGTATTTAGAAAGTTCGACATGAGATGAAAATCAAGTTGAATTTTCTTTATTTCTTTAACTTCTTCGATCTCTATAATTTACAAGTCTTTTTCGAACGTTTTAGATTAACCTACTGCTTTGTAACTTTTTTGGCAAAAAATGTCTCCTATTTTTTAAAGATTCGATTAAATACGATTGACTACAAACTTCAACAAACCATAAAAAGTAAACAATAAACTGAGAAAATTAAAGTTATTTTTAGTTATTTTACATTAGTTGACCACAGATAAGAAAATAGATGAAGGCTGACTTGTCTCAGCCTAAATATTTACCGCTGACAATTTTGCACAGCGGCTGACCTGTTGCTGTTCGTCAGGATAGACCGTTTAGGGAAATCGCTTACTCAGCCACTCAGCCGCTGACCGTCCCTGAACGCGCCCATTTTTGTTTCTTGATGACAAATGCGAATTAAATAGTTTATGGTGTGTTTGTGTTAGTGATTTATTAATAGTTTTTCATAAAAACATTTAAAATTGATATGTTTACATGCAGTTCAGTGTGATACCATTTTAAAAACATTAAAAACTTTCGTAACAAACTAGTAGTGGTTTTACGGCAATTGACAGAAACTGAATCACGAAAATTAAAAGTATTTTATCAGGAATAACTTCAATGGAAAGTGAAGATGAACACTACTGTTGCACCCTTTGATCAGTTTATCTATCCCATAACTTTTTATAGCTGAAACCAGAGAATAGGTACATTAAGCTGAAATGTTTCCTGTGTCCAATAGTGTTTTTTCTTTAGATTTTCTGAATTTAGGTTTTAATATCATTAGCAAAGTTTTGCAAATTGTCACTGTTTCGTCAGGTTTCGTGGACAATTAAATTCAAGATGTATTATATTCAATGTCATCTAATAATTGTAAAGGTAAATTTTCGTAAATAAAATATTAATGAATAAATAATGAACTCAATTTATTTCAAAAGAGTTAAGTTAAAATTAATCTGTGCACTGACAGTATATAATTTGAATGTTTTTCTTAACATCTATCCATATTTTTTTAATTAATTAGTTATACCACTTACATTAGGACCTTTGAAAAGGCTTGGGTTTCTTTCACCCCGTTCTTTATATGCCTTTTTTCCACTGTAAGTTCCACTTATACAACCAGGTACGAAGCAAGATCTATCGTTTAGGATTTTTTTAATCATACTCATTGGTACATTGCTAATAGTTCAATAAATTAACTCTAAATTTAAAAAAAAAACTAGTAAAAACACAGTTAAATCGTATACTAACAATGAAAATAATCAATCTCACACGCTTACAGTGCCTCTGGTGTCAAACCGAGAAACTTGCTTTAAAGTAGAGACAGAAATTTTAAATATGCCCATTGTCGATAAATCTCCTTTTTAAAGTCCTCCATAGTTTAAACATAAAGAATATTTTGTTGATGTTTGACCATCAAAATCATAAAAATAAAGAAGTTGTCTAAAAATGTGCTACAATACGAATATAGTATAATGTAACTTCCTTCTTCATTTGTGTAAAAATACATAGTCAGTTTGATATAATAATAATAATAATAGCTCCCGTATATAGCGTTTAACGCCTTGGGAGTAGCAAGCTTAGGTAGCAAGGTACAGCTTGCCATACTAGAGCCGTTCGGTATACAAGGCAGGCCCTGCGCACTCTCCGCGAAACGTCAAACCACGAAATTAGTACGACTTCAAGACACCGTGCGCTAGTGTCGCCTGGCGGGAGAAAGCGACAGCCAATAAGAATTTTTCTGTTTTATGATTGGTACCTGCTCAAAAGAGGGGCCACCGGCTGAATTTTAAAATTCTTCAGTCTATTCCCGTCGTCCTTGTTCGTGGTTCGATCTAAATTTTTGTAATTGTTACGAAGTGTTATTGTGTTGACTTTTTAAAAATGGTGTTATATTGCTGTGTGTTGGGCTGTAAATCCTCTAGTAGATCGTCGATTTTGCATGGTATGCCAATGGATAAAGTGGTAAGTGTACTTATGTTGTTTTTGACCCGTTTAAAAATTCGTATATGTACTATTATATTCTTTTAGGGTTATGCCAGTCCAGGAAATCCTCTAAAAAAACTTGCATTTGAAGTATTTTAAAAAATAAAGTAAAACATAAAAGCCTTAAATAAAATTAAACAAGTTATCCCTTTATAAAGTTTAATGTTTTTATTGCTTTTGTTGATAAATATTGTTTATATTATAATGTAAAATGTCTGTATAATGTGTATGTCTATAACGTAAGGTACTAATCTATATAACGAATTATTTTTTATTCAAATGTTGAATGGATAATATTATAGTATTATTTGATGATTTTTAATAAAATTTTTGTGTTTCATATTGGTTTTTGTATTATTGTTCCGTATCAGTCTTAATATTAGAAATATTATATACATATTGTTTTTTTTGTAAACGTGAAAGAATTAATACTGTTTTTTTTTAGTTTTCTGTAAAATAAAAGTTATATTTTACAGAAATCTAAAAAAACACAGTATTAATTCTTTCACGTTTGGTAAAAAAGCAATAATGCAACTCAATTTTAAATTCCCAGCACCTGGCGGGAAAAATGAAGATTTAGTACGTTTTCAACTCACCGAGCGCTGTAAAACGCGTTCTTGATAAATGACGAGAGTTGCCAATCTAAATGTTTGTGTTCTGTGATACAAGGTAATGTGGCTAGCACTACGCTTCAACTGCCTATTATTACCTCAGGATTATGAATCCCAAGTACTCATTTAAGGCTGAGTCGACCTAGGTACCCAAACTTAATTTTAATAAAAATAGTTGGTTACTTGAGATTGGTAGACGAGAGCCTGTGCCTCTACGCCACCGAGCACCTTAGTTTGATATAAAACGTTAAATGCCAAACGCTTATTTTGCTACTTTTAGTCTCTTAATATTAATATTAAAAACTCAAACTTTACCAGCTTTTTTTTTCATTATCTTGAACGATATATTTTCACGATAACTAAAAAGAAAAAAAAATATTTATTTTTTTTGGTGCACCCTAATATACATGTACCATCGATTATGAAATGTTCGGCTTTTTAGTATTTAAGATAATTATTTTTGTTTGCGATGTAAGCAGTCAGAAATAATCAAATTGTTAGAAGGTTTCCATACTGATATTTTGATATCTGACTAGCCCCTGTTTTTCAGGCAACCATATGTTTTCACCTATATGTTCTAATCAATGACTAAAGAATCCAAGGACAAATAACACCCGAGAGCAAATTGTGACGATGACACCAAACAGTGCCGTGGCACATATTTTTCTTAACCTAGCTGTTTGAAGCAATATTTATATTTTTTGATCATTGTTTTGACTACGCCTATGGTGTATCATCCTAATTAATTACGAAAAAAACGTATTAAAATGTTAACAAAAGGTACAAAACTAGTATCGACGTATAGCACATATCAAGTACATATAGATGTTAATTGAAATTGAAGAATAATTATCGAATTCAATAAGAAAACGCTAAAAAGTTGGAGTGGACTGTTTATTTACCTATGAAACGTAACTCCTGGCTCTTTCTTATCGCTGCTGCTTACACTTGAAAGCTGAACAACTAATCACCATTGTAATAAAGTTTATACAAAGTTTACAACACACAAACTATTAAAAATCGCTAAAATTATCGCTGGTGACCAAATGATGACTCATTGTTTGCCACCAAAACAAAAAAAAAGGTCACAAATTCTGCTGCAGTCCGTATAGGGGCGTTACATGTCCTTATATTCTTTAGTCATTGGTTCTAATAATGTGCAACCAGTCACAAACATGTTTTGAGATTCGTCTTTAAATAATGAAGCAAACGGTAGATATTTTTAACTACCAAAACATTTACTACGAAGGAACCTCGTCTTTATGTTCCCACTTTATTATACGTCGTAATGGAATCAGAATTAATCCGCTTAATAAAATGCTAATTCCAGAAAAAACAAACGCCGCATTGAAAGTATTAAACGAGCTGTAGATCGCATTGATAACGGGAAGAGCGGCAAAGGCGGCTATTCCTTGGAATATCATGTGCAAACCGAAGCAATTGGTGAGATTTTCCAGTCCAAAAAATTCCACAAACATAATCGTTCTGAACACAACAAAGGAAGCTAAAAAAGAACAGAAACTCTGCATGTAGCTCTTTTAATTAGGCATTATAAAAAATATTAAGTTTATAAAAGTTCGGAATGCCTTTGTATAGGGTAAAATAAAAGCAGCTGAAAAATAAAAATAAACAGGATATTATTACTTATTACTATTTTAGATTCATTAAGTTTATAAAGTTATTAGTACGTTAGTTACTTGTTATTTTTGGTTAACTCTGTAGCTCTTTTGTTATTTAATTAATTTTGTTTTAATTTTATTTTTTGTTACCTACCTATTGTTACACCAAATACTGAACAGTATAATATTTGGCCTAAACTAGTCGTGAAGTATATAGATACTATTGTACCCCCTCCACCGACAATAAGCGTCGTCCACGTTATAAGGTTTATATCTAAAACTGGAAAACAAGAAACCTAAAAACAATAATTATTTATATATACTTCCACATAAGATCTGATTGAAAAAAGCGACGTCATTTCAACATCAGGCTTTTAAAATTACCATAGATATTTTTGATATATCACTTAATAAAATTTGCAGGCAATGCGACTGGTATGCATCTGGAAAACCTCATGGACTATCAACAGCAGCAATGGAGGTTATTTTACACCTAACACCAGTGCACATTGTCGTCGGTAGATATCCCAATACGGCAATGATTAGAATGGCCATTGACGGAAACAGTACTGTCAGCTCAGGGGCTTTGAACACCCTCAAAAGGAAAATTCCCCTCCTCCAAATCCCAGTGGATGACATACGAAGAATGTACAACTTGAAACATTGAATCTACAATGAGGAACACCTCACTGTAGCATTGAGCAATAAAAAAGTATTGTAAGAAAAAAGTTTGCTTAGCAGGAAAAAGACCATACCAGAACGTGGTATAATGATGCTTCCAAAACCAAAGCAGGGATAGGGATAGGAGTATTTAGGCCGAAAACTAAATACTGCGAACCAATAGGCACCTACCTCAGCAGCCTTCAGGCAGAAATCTACGTTATCGAAAGATGCGTACAACTTATCTTAGATAGGAACTATTGCAAACACCAAAACAACCATCTTATCCGATCATCAAGCAGAACTAAAAGCGATCAACTCTGTAACCAGCAATTCAAAGTTGGCCAAAGAAGAGCTCTAGAAAAGCTGAACAAATTAGGCAAAATAAAGTCCTCCTACTCTGGGTGCCAGCATACCAAGGGATAGAAGGCAATGAAAAAGCAAACGCTCCATCTAGAAAAGGAGCAAACACTCCCACTAACTGGACCAGAACCGTTCTGCTTCCCAAGCGGAAACCAACATAAAGCGGAACTCAAGAACCTGGAAGACTCCATCTGTAAGCTGGAATGGGAATCCTCCAAAGATCTAACACACTCGAAGAAATTTCTCGAAAGAATTTTCTCCCAAAAACTTACGACCGAGAAAAATCGATTTTCCTTGATTTAAGTAAGAACAATCTTCGGATTATCACGTTTTTACCAGGACACTGTCTCCTTAACAAACACCTCACTAGATTGAAGCTAAAAAATAACGCCGAATGCAGATTCTGTGGGGACAATAGGGAAACACCAGAACACCTCAGTACTGAATGCGCTGAGACGACAACCATTGATGTCATAAGCTTTGGTACGACTGAGATCAGAGATGGAGAACTAGCCTCTGTGAAGCCGTCTCAGATACTCGCTTTTGTCAAAGCCCTTAGACTGTATGATGAGTTATAACTCGTTATAACTTAAGAAAGGGGAACACACAATAGATCTGTAGGGTCGCGGTGATTAATCGAAAACAAGCTGTTTTTTTGTTGCCAAAGCTGTGATATTTCACATACAAAACTTCCAATGTATAATAGGTTATTGTGAGGATCCATGAGGTTCTCCAGATCTGTTGATGGTCCATGAGGTTCTTCAGATGCATGCCAGTCTCTGTACTTCGCACATGTTTTGCCTTGCTGTACGTTGGTCTAGATTTGTATACCAAGCTAGAGCAATGTACAGCAAGGCAAAACCTGTGCAAAGTACACTAATGTATTCCGTAAACAATACTTTTTAAAATAGATTTATTTATGACATTTATTACTTTTCTTATAGGAAGTGAAATAAAATATTTTATTTTTTATTAAGTTTTTAGGTAAATTTTATTAAGTGATATATCAAAATTATTATATATTATTGCATTGAATACTTCTAAAAAAGACGTAAACGATTTTAAGTCACCAGAAAAAACAGACAATTTTATTTCCGGAAGTTTCGGTCTTGGTAAATCATGCGTTATATCACGGCTCGTAGATGGACTAGCGCTTTTTGGCACACGTTTTGCCTTGCTGTACATTGCTCTAGCTTGGTATACAAATCTATCACAGCTGGTAAAAAAAGCTATCACACCTGGTAACAAATTTATTACCCTATTAACACCGAGTGACAAATTTATACCGATGGTAATCGAAAACAAGCTGTTTGGTTTGGTTTGGTTTGGTTGGTTGCTTTCAAAACTTCCAATGTATATTGGAATAGTATATGCAATAGGTTGTTGTGACGATATATGGTATTTTTTACTGTATTTAATCTAAGTTAATTTGTAAACATACAAGATGCCACTACAATCTATGGTAGTCGCAAAACAATTTCCGATGCACGTGATCAACTTTGAGTGACAAGCGAAGGCGACAGCGCTGCCAAGTTGTGATGGATTTATAAGATGAATCTTAATTTAAAAGTGACAAACAATATATTTATTATATCATTTTTTAAAGATTTTTAGGTCTTATTTTTAATTTAATAACTAATATTTTAGTAATTAATTGATTTATTTATATTTATTTATTTGTTTTATAGCTTATTTTACTTATTACATATTGGCAAAAACTAGTCCATTATGAAGATTATTCTAAGCGTTATTATGGGTAATTTTTTTATTTATTGATGTACATCTTACAACGCCATAAGTGGTAATAAGTACAAGTAAGTACAAGTAAGAGGGTGCTATTAATACACAAACTAATAATCAGAGTGGTGTAATGTGTTTATCAATCAAACTTACTTCTCTGACTGTAGTCAAGGGCAATAAATGACCTTTATTGTCACGTTCTCGTTCAAAATAGTTTATCAGGGTGGTTACAAGTCCTTTGCTTCGATTGTTTAAATGCTTTGGCATGTTTTCAACACACAATTTCAAGAAATGCAATACAAAAACTCGAAAATTTAGTTCTTAAAAGAACTGTTTGTGCTTAAAGGTGGAATTTTTAAAAAAAGACTATGAGCAAAAAAAAACGAGAATTACTCACAAAGATTCAACACGATATTATACAAAATAATGACTGACATTAGGATAATTGTGAAATAATAAACGACAACCTTGCTGAAAACGGCGCAATGTGCCAACATAGCGATAATAAAATTCGGTTTAAACTAATTTTTGCAGCTTTAATCTAAATAAAATATCTGTTACAATCATTTGCCCTATAAAGTCAAATGAAGATCTTAATTTTTTTGCTTTTAATTGCTCGGTATCTTAAATTACACAACAAATTTAAACATTTTTGCCAAAATTTCATTTAGTCAGGTTTATAGACTTTAGTGTCAATGTCGATATGATTGATGACATGCATCGGAAAATGCGATTACTTTTTTTGCGATTACAATACTTACAACTCCACACGCTATCCTGCCAACCGTATTAGCAATGCCTATCACGGACAACAACATGGCGGCCGTTCCCTGTTCAATTCCTATTTCCACCCCTCTTCCTTGGGCGTATATCAAACATCCATATATACCCATAAGAGTTAAGGAGCCGCTCACCATCAGTATCAAGAACGCTGGCGACTTCAACATTTCGTAGTTTAGTAGTGTAGCCAAAGTCCTGAGGACGGCATCGGGACACCACAGGCACCGATTCTGTTGTGCCATGTCACTGCGAGTCGCCAATCTTGAAACTGAAAGCGTATAGGCCAATGAAGGCAAGTTTTGTGGCAAAACCTATAAAAATAGATGAAAATCCGGTTATTCGGACGGTTCACTTAAATGATCCAGTTCCACATTTGCAGGACAAATTGATATACAATTCGACAAATAATGTAGAATGATGCGCAGTAGATAGTCGAGGATCGACATAGAACCAGTTTATATCTACTGGTAGTACCTGTACAGAATGTCCCATTTTCGTGTGTTTTGTATTGTTTTTCGTTTATAAGTAGAGTTACCAAGATGGAGTTTTCACCTCACTTTACTACTTTTTATGAAACTAAAAAAATACATATATTTGTCCTAGCCCTCTTAGTTCCTGAAATACAGGACAAAAATGAAGATGTTGCATTTTTCTACCCCCTTCTTCTCTTAATATGGAAGAAATCCATAATGAGGAAGAAAAAAAGGAAGAAAAAAGTCGCCATCGACCCCACGTCTGCTAAAAAAGTTATTCAACGTCAAACGTCTAAATTTTTGGTTTTTTGGATTTTTCTGGTAAACGGTAAGTTTTTTCAAAAAATAGCTCAAACCAAAATTGTAGATTATAAAATTATCTGTAACAGTCCTTACACTTTTTTCCCAAGAATTACCACTTCTGAGATGCGATTCAAAATGTCGATCGAGTTATGATCTATAAAAAATGCATGCATACGTCACAGATATACAGGGTGTCCCAGACTGAGCGTGCATTAGAAATTTCTAGAGGACTACAATATTTAGATCGGAGATTTTCTGCGCATCACTGTTTCACAACGAGATCTATCGATTAAAAATATTTTCAATATGGCGGCACTTCCGGAAACACCGGAAGTTGAAAGCAACTTTCTTATTTTAATGGGTATCCCCATTTTTTATTACTTACTTAAATTCTCTGTAAAATTTTATGAATTTTGATATCAAACACTCTATACCTAACATTAACCGTTTTTGAGAAAAAAATATTAAAAATTTGTGGAGAAAAAGAACTGCCTTACCACAGTCACTGTGGTATAAAGAGAAGACATGTGGCTATCTATTTCAAAAATTAAATTGTCGGCCAATATTATATGATAATATAATATTGGCCGTAGCTGTCATGGAATTGAGCGATTAAAAAATTGTCATAAATCATTTTTTTCAAATGGAAACCCACTTTTTTTATTTCACTAGTGAAAAGGTTTTTCAATTCGTTACTTTTTGATTATAATAGTTGCATTTAGATTTTTAATTTTATATTAGTTAGTCGTGTAGTAAGCCAATATGCCCAAAAATATAAAAAGAATCATATTAGGTCCAAAATAAAATAAAAATATCGTTATATGCAATAATTTTGGCTTTGTGTGTATTTCTTCTTTATAATGGTAAAACCAAGGCCTCTACCAAAATTCAGCTTTGCTGGAATTTTGGTAATTTAATCACTATTTTTATAGCTAAATTGGCCGAACTAGTAATTGAGCTGTCATTCTTGAAACTTTTTTAAACAAGATACCCTGTAAATAAACAGGTATTCTATTTAAAAAATACCTATAAGTTTGGGTCTTTGAATAAGAAGACTAAGGAAGGAGCATAAAGCTATCCATGTATTCATGCATGGTGGGCGGAAAAAGCACTCTAGGGTGGGGATCCTTGACAGTTCTGTTTGACGATTCATTTGACACATTTGAATTTGATTTGAAATTTTATGGATTTGTCAGTCTTTACGGAGCTTATTTTATGTTATTTATTATTTATTCTACTACTGATAGTTGTATAAAGGTAGTAATTCTAGATGGAAATTGTGGCAGAACTTAAATTAACAGTGACACTATCGCGATTTATCGAAAAAGACTCTAAGATAGTTGGTTGTGTAGCGTGCGGTAGATCTCGGCAAAAATCGAGTGAAATAATGGAACAACTTTTCGCTAGTAAGTGACTATATAATATACATACGTGTAGTAAACCGATCATTTATGAAATTCACTTAAATTAACTAATTATATATTTTTTCTTGCATTTTTGCTTTTATTTACTACTTGTCAAAGATTAGATGTCAAAGAATTTAGATCCGTCAATTTGATTTGCCAGATTTACCTGCTTCAGTAGCGTATCGGATGTTTGTGTTAATAAATAATTATTATAACTTATCTATTTTTATTAGAATTATATATTTTCGTAACAATTTTAATAACTGCCAACATTTATTCACAACGTCAAATAAAACAACATATTATTGAGTCTACCCCACGCCTACCATACATCATAGTTTTACATTTTTTAAATAAAATTAGAAGGCACTGATAAACCGGAATTTAAGTCGGCTATATTTGAGGCCCATCGCGGTGGACCTAAGATTTTTGATATGCTCCTTCCTTAGTCTTCTTATTCAAAGCATGCATCCGTCAGAGATATACATAATCGGACATTAATAATAAGGACTGGCAAAGGTTAGTCTTGGGTCGAGATTTCCGTATGTAAGAAGAGTACAATGCGTTTATAATGTACTGAACAAAGAGAGAACAGTAAACACGTTGCCAAACGTATGAAATAAACCGAGAAACTGTACACATTGCTAAGAGACGTGGAAAGGGATATAGCAGATTTGTCGCAGTTGACCGGTCGACCATGGGTCGACCCCATGGTACAAAGAATACAAGGTATGATATTGCGCAGGTTGGTCGCTACGTCACAGGTGATAACAGGCGCTATTGGTCAGCACGCTCCGCGCGCCAGTTCAAATCGTCAAGATATTATTATAAACCTGTTTTTTTTTTTTATATACCGTCATTGAATTATCGCTAAGCAAGTTACTGTGGAGCAGTGCATAAGGAGTCGGGCTAGGAAGCGAGAGACCGGAGTTCGAATCTCGGCCGGAACATCACTTTTTATTTATTTTTTTAAATACTGTTGTGTTGTATTCTATAGTTTATTTTTGTAGTATAAAAAAAAGAACTATTTATTCTGTTATTTTTTAATCTCCGTTATTAATATAAATTGATTGTTAGTACAATACCTCATTTAATATAAAATAATATTCTACTTTTTGAAATGTATCGGGCCCTAATTGTACCTAAAAGTAATATATTTTTAGTGATATACCATATTGTAAACTATTTAATATTTCAGTCACTTAAAAAGTTAATTTGCATTGAATAATTGCCTACCATTAAAGGAAATTTGAGCTATATAACCCTTGATGGGCATATTCTGGGTATGCAAATACTTCCTTTAAATTTTGGGTGTCGTTCAACTGATTTATTCTCAAAACCAGAAACATCTACATATAAAAAGAAGCACAGGTCACTAATTATAATAAACTTCACCCTTGGTATTACTTCCACTAATTATAATAAACTTCACCCTTGGAATTACTTCTATCACAATTACAATACGTTCATCTGTATTGGCATTTTCTACTTTTCGATGGGAAACAATAAACTTCCCAACATTTTTTAAATGATGTAACAATTCCTCTTGTGGTTACTTTTCCATAGATATCCTCATCTCTGTCCTCATGTGAATTCAGAGGCAATAAAAATGAAAATTATTTACCATAAACATCGCAAACTAAAAACCTAATAAACAATTTTATACCGAATATAGAAATAAATTTAGTATTTTTACCTATTATCGTCCAAATCCATGTAAATAGATAATTATTATTTTTAAATATATTTTTGGAACTGCTGGTTTTAGTAATTATTAAATTAAAGGAACTAAAAAGTCTTAAAAATAAACAATGCTTAACCATAACCCCAAAAATGCAGATCTCCTGTCAACTTTCTTTGTTTTTTATTTATTCATTATTTTCCTAGTGACGTCACAGGTGGTATGCGCGAACTGAACGAAATTGGAGCCGCTATCGATCATACCTTGTATTCTTTATACCATGGGTCGACCCAATCAGTTTTGCGGCTACAGCCTGACAGGTGACATAGTGCCTGGGTGTGTGTTTTTGTTTTTGTCACTATTGGTCACTATTATAACCCTAACCTTAAATTTTCTTTGACAGTTTTGAAAACAGGTACAACTGTGACCTGTCAGGCTGCAACTAGTCCTAATCAGTACCTCTGTGAGTACTTAAAGTTCTAGTAAAAGGTGCACATCATGCGTTCAGCTTCATGATTTAATTACGTCTCGTGATATTTTACTTGTTTATTTATTAACGAGTCGTTTAATTTTCCCTATAGCTTAAAAATGTTTAAGTGCATGTTAGAAACACTTACATTTTTGGTAAAAATAAGTGGAATTGAGTTAGTGTTCGACAGTAATTGCGCTATTAGAACTCTGAATTCAAAAATCAATATCTTGAAATCTATTGGTAATAATTGATTGCAGTTCTTAATATTTCTGCTATATTTTCTTCGCAGACAGTACGTGAAAATCTTTATAAGTAAAAAAGTTCGCGATTGCTGAAAATTGCTATGCACTAAAAGTAAATAGTTGTAAATGATGGGTTATTTAAAATTTTTGAATGGAATAGAGCAACCTTGTCGAATTTTTCTTATTTAAACATATTGTAAAAGATCCGACCTTCAAAATAATTTTTTTTTTATTTTGGCATTTGACCTTGAATAACTTACTTAGCAGACGTGGGATCTATATGGACTTATTTCTTCTTCTTTATAATGGTAAAACCAAGGTCTCTACCAAAATTCAGCAATTTTCATTGAAAATTTATTTTTATAGCTAAATTGACCGGACTGATTGATGCTCGAAACGAAAAAAAAATGATCCAAACTTTTTTAAATGCATCCCATTTAAAAAATATAAGTTTGGGTCATATTTATTGCATTGTAACTTTTTAACATAGACGGCCAGTTTAAAATAAGTAGTCAAAACAGTCGAATAAGACGCTGCTGACAAAGGAAAATTGATTTAAGAAATAATATACAGGGTGTCCCATTCAAAAACATAACTTTGAGTCATATTTCAAAAATGACAGCTCCCAGCAAAAAAACTAGTTACGCCACTGGTTTCTACGTAAACTACTCTACGGGACTCAGTTTTTACCTTTTCGATAAGTTATAAGATCGGTTATAAGATAACCAAGATACAAAGAAGGTCAAGAAAAACATTATTTTCAATTTCGCCCTGTATTTCAGAAACCAATAGGGATAGGACAAATCTGTGTGTAGCATATTAGCTTCATTTCGTAGCAAGTGATGCGAAAGCCGCCATGATGGCATGCCGTGTTACACGAGAAGAACTACAGAAAAAAAAACGAAATGAATTACCCTTTGTGTGGCTCCAGATATTTGACTTCCTCTTCTCGAATACTGGGACAACGGATAGAGAGAGCCCTGATAAAAAATATCTTCTCTGTACATCGGCCTGTTTATAGTGAGGTAAGATTCTTTTGAATCATATTGATCGTGGCAGCAATATAAATTACAGTTCAATTTTTTCCATTTATTCCAGTTACAACAAGTAGAGCAAGGCTTACTATAAAAATAAAAAGTATTTAATTTTGAATACCTATCTACTATTATATACTACTACTCAATAATAAATGTTTTTGAATTTTTCAACGAAAAACAATTTTTTTCTATATTCTTGTCTGCAATAATTGGTTGATTATCTAATTACAATAAAGATCGAAAAAAGTCGTCGGAATTGGCTTGCAAATGGACGCTGGACGCTGTCATTATACAGAGTAAAATATATGCAAATAATTTTAAGGGTAATAAGCCCTGGCGAAACAAGGTATTGATAGGCCTATAATAGAAACATTCGCCAATATATACCAAGAAGCCAAAGCACAAATTAAAGAACTAAATACAAACTGCAATAAAGTAGGTCTCAAAATTAGTTTAGCAAAAACTAAAGTAATGTACAACGAATTAGTAGACAAAAAAGGCATTCTAGTATAACACTACTCTGGAAATAATAGAAGAAAATATATATTTGGAACAACTAATAAACACAGCTCGCGATCTCTACTGCCAGAAATCAACAAAAGAATTAAGTTAGCATGAAATATTTATTGAAGAACCTCAATCAGCGATGGCGACAGCGCTGCCAGATTGTGATGGATTTATGAGATGAATCTTAATTTAAAATTGACAAACAATATATTTATTATATAATTTTTTAAAGAGTTTTACGTTTTATTTTTAAGTTAATAACTAATATTTTAGTAATTAATTGATTTATTTGTTTTATAGCTTATTTTACTTATTACATATTGGCAAAAACTAGTCCATTATGAAGATTATTCTAAGCGTTATTATGAGACGACACTAAAACTCACAATACCCTAGACAAGGAAAGAGTCTCTCTTTCCTTCTCTAAGGACAAAATACTCGGAAGCTGAAACGCGCAACCGCGGTTTAAGTCAAACTCGTGAATTTTAGAATGGACTTTGTAAACAACGGCACTTTTATAAATATCAGAGTAAATATGGCCCTATTTAAAAACAAAGTTAAAAATTCATCAGCATTCCTGTATTTTTAAATAATACAAAAAATACTAAAAGCACTTTAAAGAAGATTTACAATTTGTGAATGTGTTTTGGGGATCCAGCGATTCGTAGAACTTTGATAATTAATATTACAGACTGGATTATTTTTAATTTGTGTTGTTTCACTTAATCTTGTGAAAAACACTATAATAAGAAGAAACGTATTATTTGCCCTCTGTTTAGTCTAAATATGGTAGTCTGTATAGTTTCTGGAAGTTGCAGTATATTGCAACAACATTTGAACGTAAACACCATTAAGTAAAATTGGTAATGCAAACGCATAACTTTGCCTATGACTTTGCTACAAAGCCTACAAAGGAAAGTTATAAACTGTTGTACGAAAAACAGAAGATTAGGTAAGATAAATTATTATGCATTCGCCAAGTCAAGAAAATATAATGTCTATGTGAAAAAAAAACTTACAATTATTATTGTAATCATAGTAAATCAGCCAGGTAGGTAAAATATAAATGAAAAAAAAAGCACTATGCCAAATAGTCTCTTTTTATTTTTAGGATACATCAGCAATTGTTCTAAATAAACAGAGAAGGCCAGTGGTTCAATAAAAAGACCATATAATGAGCCATAAAAGGAAAATGGATAAGCAAGAATTATTCCGAACAAAGTGAAAGAGGTTATTGGTTTAAGGCTTTATTTATTTTGTTTTTGGTCTTAGTTAAGTAAATATGTATTGACTGTTGGTTAAGGGTTTTATATTTATTTTGTACTACATACTACCTGTACAATGTGGTATTGTTTATTGTTAAAATTATTGTATTTTATTGTTGTAATTATTATATTTTCTGACATAGAACACCCATGAGTTTCTTGCAGTTTCTTCTTATAGGCCATAATCGAAACTGCAACATTCTAATAAAATTAGAACTCTATAAATTTGTTTTTTTTATTTCTAATATATTACAGTAATTAAGCCAACAAATTTTCAAATAAAACGTTTATTTCCCCCATGAAAATGTGATTTAATTCAAGAACTGATATTTTAAAAGACTTCCAACTTGATTCGGAACATAATATTTCTCTGCCCTGTACTGTATTACAAATTTTTCTAACCGGTCTTCATTCATATATAGGACATAATGATAATAACTAGAGTAGAATTCGAGAATAATGAGCTCTCTCCAAGTAAAGCTATGGTTCTCACTTATACATCAAATTAGATAGTGATCATGCAATCTGCAAATGAAACAATTTTTAATTTACCTACACCAATAATCAATGCAACTTTGACTAAAATCACTTGATGTAGGCAATATAGGCATATTACCAAATATCAGCCAGATACATTAACCACCTTCCTTCTTTAAAATGAGCAAATAATAACAAATTACATTTCGTAACTTTAATGATATTTGTATGTTTTAAAAATATATGAATGCAGATCAGTTTTTAAATATAGCCGTATTTCTAAAAATAGTCTAAAAACTATAAAAAAACAAAATGAACAACCAAAACAGTCAACTACTGTTAGCAATTTATTATTATTCATTATGTTCAAAATTCCCGCAAAGCGCTTTTCGCCGAACACAACCGAACTCTCCGTGTAGGATCCGAATGCTTCCGAGGTTTTGGTGAGTTTTAGTCATTGCCTGGAAACTTATATGGTGAAATTTTGATAAAATAATTTAGTACTCACTAAAAACACGGTATGTCGTTAGTGATAGGAAAAATAATTTTGAGAGGTTAATAGTTTATTTGGTTGCCTGTGATATGCATATACAGGGTGTTTCCTAATTAATCTAAAAAATAAAAAAACGTTAGAAAACGGCTTAAGGCGGGCTCTTAATAAGTATATTTATTTTTTTCTCGGCAACTGTAGATCAGAAAGGAAGTACTTTAGACCCAATGGTTATATAAAAATTGTTTTAAGAACACATGAGGAATCACACCACAATTTTTTAGACTAATTAAAAAACACCCTGTATATTGTCAACTTGACAATGATTGTTGATAAATCAAAAAATACCTTTTCTGTGAAAGAAGCCTGATTTTCGCAGGAAAAATTTTGGTTTTTATTTAATTTGGGCCTGCGTCTGCAAATACTGGTATGTTTTTTAATATTTTATCTATCTAAATTTTAAATATCATAGTCAGAAATAGTTTTATTATTTATTAACTGTAAAAATAGTATACTTATAAGTTTTATCAAATATTGTGATTTACTTTCTACCTTGTAGTCAAAATTTATATTTAATAAACTGTAAAATATATATATTCTTATGTTTTATTAAAGTTACTCTGATATACTAATATATCAGTGTAACTTTAAAACTAAATCCTCTGAAATCAAATATAAACATAAAAAATATTTACAGCAGAAAAGGCGAAGGCGCTGGGTTAAACGTAGTCTCTACTAAGAACACGGAGGGGCGCTTTGACCCAAAATTTTACTAAGTTTCATATCTATCTTAATAGAAGATTATTTTCTTTTATCTATGGTTTTAGTGTCGTCTGTTATTATGGGTTATTTATTTATTGATGTACAGGGTGGTCGGAATTGGTCTCTTTTAACAGAGAAAACCTATTTCCTGACTAGATAGAGCAAAACCGACATAGATGTCATGGGCTCGATTTCTGAGAAACGTTTAATTGCCTAAACCGCCTCTCCATATTTTCATGGCCAACCGAGATACGGAGTCTTTTTGAATTTTTTACCATTTGGAAAATTGCCTATAACTTTTGTATTTACCCGGAATAATAAAATTCTGTAAAAACGTTCTTAAGGCACTTTTTTAAGCACAATCCAGTGGCGTAGTCAGTTTTTTTCTATACTTGCTTTTTTTGTCAGAAATAATAAAAAATATAATTTTTTAAATGGAAATCATAGTTGGCTATGAACTTAAAAAAATGCTGGCGTTTAACCCCAGGGGGGTGACAGTGAAATAGGAAAATTGGAAACAGTCATTAGTGTCATTCCTGTCATTCTCCTCACGACAAGTATGGCCGCCTAGACAAGGACAGCATTGTTTTTGTCTAACTATTATCTAACTTCACAGTTTAGAATTGACAGATTTCAGTTTCAGAGACAACTTCAGATTTGTTCTAGAACAAATTCGAAAATATTGGACGCCATTTTAATTCATTCCGTTTAGTTTCTGTTTTGGAAGTTCAATTTAATATTTCGGCTGAAATTTATAAATATATAAAATATATATTACATGAAGAATCCTGGAGAAAATGACGTTTCTGCAGTAGTAGGTATGTCCCATGTATATGAAAAAATAGGTAGTAAATAAACACTGTTTTTACATTTTTAGATGCAAGAAAATGGTGTTATAATCTCTTTGATCGGCGATTTTTTTGAAAATGGAAACAATTACAGCAAGGTAAGATCATTTTTTAACTATAGCCAACATTAGTTATCTCCAATATGTGCGATTTATTGTCAATAATGCAATAAATCTTACTGATAATCTGATTATGTTATCCGACTAAAAGTCTCTTTTTGCATCTTTTTGATTTATAAGCCAGGTTCTTTGGGAATAATGGACGCTTTTTTTAAACAGTATATTTATATTTTATACCTATTGATATTTTTACATTGTTAATTTTAGTATAAAAAAATTGTTTTTCTGCCTGCTGGGTCCTGTGATGTAACTCCTTTCGACTTTTTTTATGGGGGAAATTAAAAGGCATTATATATAAGGGAAGAACCATTGGGACGAGAGAAGAATTACAGTATTTACAAATTATTAAGTCATGCTTATACCTTAACTAATTTACGTTAAAAGTGCATATAATTAACTAATTGGTATTGAAACAATACAATCCTCTATATTTTTATATTTATTTAGTCACGTTGTTCCATATTTCAAATAAATATATGTGAATAAATTATTTTTTGGTTTTATTCAATGTCAATTGGAAAGTTAGTTCTCCAGACGACAACGAAGGCTTTCGGTGGCGTATCGTGTTTCCACGATTTAACACAGAGTTGACACTTCTTTCTAGTTAATTATTTTAT